TCTTCAGTCAAGACTTCATTGTAAATTTTCGTTTGAGCATTCATATCGTTGCATACATTATCAAAATCTAGAAGTCAGTAAAATTTTGCAACCTCTATGACCATCTCCAAATGGAATTCCTATGCATTCAGTTCGAGACGCTTCCAAACATCGTCCAATATGACAAGGATTCTATTGGTGCGCCTTAGTCTTTCACACAGTCATTTGCTCTTCCACGTTCAGTTCTCCTCCCAAATTTCAAACCCAAATTATCTCCAATTTCACCTTGAATCTTCCTTTCATTTGGACTTTGGGACACTACAGCCATCACAACCTCATCAAAACAATTTCAATTCTTTTGCTCTTTTGCAACTTCTTTCACGCATTGTTGTCTTACCAACACCACCCATCCACATATTGCAATCATGTGGAATCCATCATCATTCAGTGCCTCCATGACATTCGTTCGTAATCATCTTCTAGTTCAAAAACCTTAATACCTTCTTGAGTGTGTGTAATTTCAAAGGTAATAAAGGCTGAAGAGCTCTACTATGAAGTGAGAGCACATCAACTTATGTAGCCAATGCTAGAAAATTTAGAAGATAGAATAAGGAAAGAACAAAAGTTCATTGATCATTGTTGGACTAAATTTCATGATCTTATTATTTATTCAATTCCTTATTTTTATGAGCTCGAGTTTATACCGAGATAGGGTCAGCTGATGTAATCGCTCTGATCTTAATATAAACAAAATTTGTCTTTGTTTGACCCTGTCTTCACTTGTATTTTTATTTGTGTTTTAAAGTCAACCCAGAGCTTCGAACTTCGAACAATTTCATCCTTTAAATCTGGACTTAATTGTTTTAAATAAAACACTAAATGAGCCAATTGTAACCTTTCCAAGTTGTGGAATAGAGTTTTGGCTGATTTTCAATTGGAAACAGTGCTTCGAATCTAGCAATCTTACATTCAAAACCTGTTTTGACCATAGTCAACATCTAGTCATTGTCATTATTGCTTTTGATGTTTCGAACACCAAATCCCATCCTTAAAGGAACTCAAGTTTTGCTTCGAAGGACATTACCCTTGTTAAAGAAACTCAAGTTTTGCTTCGAAGGACATTATCTTTGTTAAAAACTCTAAAAACAGGTCTTTAAGCCCCTTTTAAAATAAATACTCGAGTATTTTTATTTTTTGGGTAGGGCAACCCACTTCGAAGCTGGTTTCTCTGTTTTCGAAGCCGTTTGACTCGGCTTCGAAGCAAAATATCTTACTTCGAAGCTAGCCTTAACAACCGGGCTTTGTTTTTCCCTCCAAAAGCATCAATGTTGAAGGAAGCTTTTGTACTCGTACTTTTAATACTTAACAGCTCGTGTAATATATTTTTAAATACGAGGACTTTAAAAACCCTTTTGTTTTGTGTTTTGAAATCACCTGCTCTTCTAATCGCACAAACCCTCTTATTACCAATCGTCGGCTTCTCTCTACTTCCTTTCCCGAAGAAAAGCATACCGTCAATGGCTTCTCCTTCAGTATCAGTCACAGAGCGTATGAGCCCATCTGTGGCCCTGAAGAGGATTATTGATGCGGAATGCGAAAAGTACAAAGCTGGGGAGATGAGCGCTATTGATGGACGCATCTTTGTCCCTCGTCGCCATGTGCAGTCAGACTATGTGCTCGGGCCCATATTCAAAGAGGTCCTCACTGAACTCCCAGCTCTGTACCCCCGACTGGAAAACCAATGTCTTCTCTATGAAGGTGGTCTTGACTGGAGGAACTAGAGGATAAATCGCCCCCACCGATGCTGGCCCACAGTGAGAGCAGAGTGGCAAGAGTGGTATGATCGGGTTATTCCTGCTAGG